CTAGACATTTGAAAAAGGTGTCATCTAAATTCAGCTGCTGCACGCTGGGGGCGTGAGCCCCCGGGGCCGTCGTCCGGTGGCGGGCGCCGCGGCTGCTCCCAGCCCCCTTTTGAAAAGATTTTGGAAAAACAGAAAAAGTAGTCAGACTTCTGTCCACACAGCATAGATTTTTTCAAGTCTCTTCTAATTTTTGACTTTCTGTTTTCTATCCTCCTCTTCTATCTACTATAACTTTATTCAAGTGTGTCTGTTTTTCCCCTTGGTTTGATCTGGAAGAGATTTGCCTAGTTTCATTTGTTTGTTTGTCTGTTTTTAGATTTTTACCATAGTGTGTGCACATTTGCTGGAGAGAGACAGGGAGAGGGAAAGTGAGAAATCACTCCCCACCCCAGGGGAATGGCCACACCACAGTCCCTTCTCCTCCATTTTCCTCTTGGGATTTTGGGCATGCATGTGCACACACCCAGTGTGATTTTCTTTACTTTTTTCTTTTTTACTGAATATTTTGAATTCATTAATCCTCTCGTGAAAAACCCGCGTCATCGCAGGTAGGCATTGCAGAATCTTTACTGCTTCGACTTTTTGCCGTCACCAACACTGGCCTTTGCAGGCCCCCTGACTATTTTCATTCTGTTCTTGTGTTCCTTTCACTGTTTTCTTGATGCCTTTTCTTCTCATAGAGGCCTTGTCTTGCAAGTCTATGTTTACACACCACCTGCTGGTCCCAAGCTTTGCCTAACTTTTAAAGAACCAACTCTTGAAACTGTTTCTACATTGCACTTTTGGTTGCACTTTCTAATTCATTTCTTTCTTTTTTTCTTGAAAGAGAGATTTTTGCTGTAGGGCATGTGCACTTGCCAGAGACACAGAGAGAGACAGAAAGAGAGAAATCACTCCCCAGGGAGGATGGCCACGTTTTCCTTTCCATAATCCAAGGACTCGTAAATCATGCCAAAGCCAGTTGTCTTGCCACCACCAAAATGGGTTCTGAACCCAAACACAAAGATGGCATCTGGTGTGGTCTTGTACGTCTTCGCCTGTTTTTCCCGAATTTCTGTCTTAGGTGCTGTTGTCTTCCCGGGGTGAAGGACATCAGGACCATTTGTTTCCTCTGAAGTAGTCGGTTGGCCATGAATTTCCTGGTGTCATTCATGATGGCGATATATCCTCAGGCAGCCGGGAGTTAAAAAGACCCCAATGGGATTTTCAAGCCACTGGGTCCGGGACTCAAACCGTGGTCAGCCCTATGGAAATCCAGCATCTTAACCACCATACCACCTGCTGGCACCAAGCTTTGCCTAATTTTTAAAGAACCAACTCTTGAAACTGCCTCTACATTGCACTTTAGGTTGCATTTTCTAATTCACTTTTTTCTTTTCTTTTTTTTTTCTTTGAAAGAGAGATTTTTGTTATAGGGTGCATGCACTCGCCAGAGAGACAGAAAGAGAGAAATCACTCTCCGAGGAGGATGGCCACGCCGCAATCTCTTCTCTTCTACTATTTTCTTGGGATCTTGGGCATGCCGCACACATGCGTAGGTTTTAGCTGCTGGTGCAGGACTCGAACTATGGTCAACTACGTGCGAGTCCAGCAATATAACCATTCTGCCATCTGCTGGTCCCTAATTCATTTGTTCCTGGTTGTATTTTTATTATTTTCTTCCTCCCCATGTCTTTAGGACTATGATTTTGGTGCTTTTTTGGGTCAAATGTGTCAAACCTTAGTTTGTCCTGTCATTAGCCCTTTCATAAATAATCGAAACAACCTAAAAAGGATTTGTTCCTAAAAGCATTTTAGATAGTATCATTTATATTTGGTTACTTATTACTTTTTGTAATCATCTATATATTTTTATTTTATTTTCTTCCTTTACCTAGTAGTTTTCTGTATTATGTATTTCTACTTTAACAAACAAGAAGGGTTTTTATTTTGCTTAACTCAAATTTATAATCTATATACTTGTATTTTATTTTCTTCCTTTTTGTAATCGTCTATATATTTTAATTTTATTTTCTTCCTTTACCTAATAATTTTCTGTATTACATATTTCTACTTTAACAATCTTGGGAAGAAAAAGGTTTTTTATTTTGCTTAAGTCAAATTAATTAACTTCTTTTGGTGTCACCTTTTTCAGCTGTTTTTGCTTTGTGTATTTTGCAACTCTATTATTAGGTTCACACATTTAGAATTACATTCCTTCTCAATGAATTTTTTTTTTCCTTTTTCTTTTTTTCCCTAGAGGGCATTTCCAGAGAGAGACAAAGAGGGAAAGGCGAGGGAGAAATTACCCTCCAACCAGGTGCGGTCACACTGCAATCTCTTCTCCTCCACTTTTCCATCCTGCAGAGATTTGGGACATTCACTTTTCTTTTCTTCTCTTTTTTCTTTACTTTTTTTAGGTTTTTGCAATAGGGTGCCTGTGCTCACTGGAGAGAGACAGAGAGACAGTGAAAGGGAAAGTGAGGCGAAATCACCCCCTAGAGTGGATGGCCATGCCACAACCCCTTCTCCATTTTCATCCTGGGATTTTGGACATGCACATACATGTACCCAGCGTGATTTTCTTTCTTCTCTTTCTCTCTCTTTCTTTCTTTCTTTCTTTCTTTCTTTCTTTCTTTCTTTCTTTCTTCTTTCTTTCTTTCTTTCTTTCTTTCTTTCTTTCTTTCTTTCTTTCTTTCTTTCTAAGAGTTTTTTTTTTTGCTATAGGGCACATGCGCTTGCCAGAAAGACAGAGACAGAGACAGAAAGTGAGAAATCACCCTCCAGGGGGGCATGGACACACCACAATCCCTTCTCCTCCATTCTCTTCTAGGGATCTTGGGCACACACACACACACACACACACACACACATGCCCAGCGTGAGTTTAAGCCACTGGGTTTGGGACCTGAACTGTGGTCGACTACATGAGAGTCCAGCGACACAGCCATTACGCCAACTGCTGATCTCCCCAGCATGATTTCAAGCTTCCAGGTCTGGGACTCGAACCATGGTCGCCCAAGTGCGAGTCCAATGCCTTAGCTACTGTGCCATCTACTGGCCCCCATACACATGGGGTCAACTATTTTTGACCAAGACTTCATCATGTGGTACATGACTGAATATTTCATACAAATTAGATAATGTGGTAAACTCTGTTACTCCCATGGGAGTCCAGCATCTTAACCACTACGCCACCTGCTGGCTTCTTGGGGCACCTTGGCTTAATAACTATATTTTCTTAATTGCTGCTCTAGGGTTTACAATATATTCTTAAATTCACCATAGTTGGCCTTTATGTAATACAGTGCCACTTGGCGTAAGCTGTAAGAACAGGGTTTTACAACACTTGCCCCTTCTGCGCTTTGTGCTAGTGTTGAAACACATTGTACTTATGCGTGTCATAAACCCTAAACAGGTCATTGTGTTCCCTTTAAATAGTTTCTTATAAAGAAATTAAGCAGGAAATTTTTTTTTCTAATATTGTTGTAGTTTTATTTTTAATGGAAGAGAATGTTTTTTATATATGCCTCTGTGTTTGTGGAACTATTCATCATGTGCTCTCAAGTAAGAGAAAGTGTATTCCCTTTAATAGGATCATTGTCTCGAGAGCTGTAGTAGTCACTCACACGTCAGGAAGAACTGGCTTGGGTCCATCGTCTTCCCTTTCTCTGCGCTTCTGCAACAATCTGAGGTAATTAGAAAAGCATCCTTTGCTCATCGTTCTGTTTCTATCTCTGGCAAATAGAAATGCTTCTTGATGTCTCTGAATCAGATTCTGTAACTGGCAGGATGATCAGTTAAATTGATCTTGTATGAGAGTACTCTAAGGTTTTAAGAGTGTTTGACGATATGGCTGTCTCTAGAACAGGTAACACCCACAAGTTTATTTCTCATTTCTTCAGAGTGTTCACTGATAAAGAATAGGACAACTACCCTAGGTTTTAAAGCAAAGTTCATATTTGCATTTAAGAATTTTTTAAAGGAATTATTTTATTTAATTGTATTCATCAGTATTGTTATCTTTAATCTGACCAGAGGGAGACAGAGAGAGAGAGAGAGAGAGAAAGTGAGAAAGCAAGCCACCGGGTCCAGGACTCAAACCAATCAGCCATGTGGGAGTCCAGCACCTTAACTACCACACCACCTGTGGGCCCCGTGCGTAAAATAGTTTTGTAAGAACAGGGAGCAGCCCCTTAGCGCAGTGGTTAAGTGCTGTGCATATGGAAGTGGATCCCATGTCGCCCACTGCAATTCAGATCCGAGCCCCAGTGGCTTGAAAAACAAAATGAGTGTGGGTGCACGCATGCCCCAAATCCCGATGGGATGGAGAACTGGATGAAAAAGGATCGCAGCGTGCGCATACTCATTGGGAAGTTCTTTCTCTCGCCCACTGACAATAAAATAAATAAATAAAAGAATTACGTACGACCAGATTCATGAAACATTCTCATTAATGGTGTTGCTTTATAATCATGGGTCCCAGGAGTTCCCCTGTTTACTGAGAGTGCTGAGGGTGATCATCAGAACCTGGTCTCCCTGAGCCCCTCAGAGGGCTCTGCCGTTGGGCTCTGCAGCAGGAGTACGCCTACTTGACCTGCAAAGTATCAAACCCCCAGCCTGGACTCCGTTTTGGTCTGGTTCTTATTTACTGAGTGATCTTAGTCACGGTGCTTGGCGTCTCTGAGGCTATGCCACCCACTGAAGATCTGAAGATTCAGAAGCAAATATTAGTCTCAGTGAACGTTTGGAAGAAAACGAGCATTGTGTCTGGATGCTTTGGTAGAGGTGTGAGATCGGTCCTGCGAGAACACACAGGGAGCACCGCATGCTTCCTGGCTGGGAGGAGGAAATGGGGGACTCGGAGCGCTTGATAAGGGAATGGGAAGAGAGCAAGAGGTCGGGGAAGACTTTTCCTAAGGAGGAAACTGGCTGCTGTAGGTAAAGGTTTGTCACACCAAAAAAAGTCCAGATGCTGGTGCAGCAGCTTAAGGCTATCGGGAATCCAGGCTGCTTTCCTTTCTAACCCACGTTCCTTATCTTGCTTCCATCCTCGTAATCGATAAGGTCCCTGCAACTCCAGCCTCCAGTCCGTTAGGACGGGAGGCAGGGGAGAGGTAAAAAGGGGCAGTGCCTGTTATCAGCAAAACAGTTCCCCTGCAACTCCGACAGACTTCTGCCTGTATGCCACGTCTGTGCTGTAGCTAACTGGCAGCTACGTGCCGCCAGCTAGAGCCATTGGTAAGAGAGGAGGAGGGAGTGGGCGTCGGGTAGAGGCCCAGTCACCGGTCGTGATGGGCGTGTTAGACGTAAGTGATCCATAAGACCAGGGTTTTCAGTTGTGGGGTGCCCACTTTGCAAACCCCTGCAGACACTTCTCAGTCTCAGGCCAGGCTACAGAATGCATAGGTAGCTAAGGGTGTGGGCTTCTGGGTCAGACCCCATGCTGAAGGTGGCAGCACACTGACCTGCACTGCCAGAAGCATGGACAACCAGAGGTTCAAATCCCAAGTCAGCTTTAAACACACCAGGTGTGCGTGCATGCGCCCAAGATCCTGACTAGCTGGAGGGTTAGGAAAAGAGGTTCGTGGCATGACAGACCCTGTTGGGAGTCTATTCCTCTTTCTCTCTTGAAATAAAATCAAATGCTGGGGAAAATAAAAAGAATATGGGCTTCAAAAGTGACAAACCGGGGACCAGCAGTTAGCGTAATGGCTATGTCGCTGGACTCCCACGTAGTCTACCGCGGTTCAAGTCTCGGACCCAGTGGCTTAAACTCACGCCGGGCGCGTGTGCATGTGTGCCCAAGATCCCAAGAGGAGAATGGAGGAGAAGGGATTGCAGTGTGGCCATCCCCCCTGGGGGTTGATTTCTCGCTTTCTGTCTCTCTGTCTGTCTGGTGAGTGCACGCGCCCTATAGCAAAAACCTCTCCAAAAAATGAAGGAAAAAAAAAAAAGTGACAAACCAGAACCAGCAGATGGCATAATGGTTATGTTGTTGGACTACCACATAGACAACCGTGGTTCGAGTCCCAGACCCAGTGGCATAAAACACCCTGGGCACGTGTACCTGTGTGCCCAAAATCCCAAGAGGAAAATGGAAGAGAAGGGATTGTGGTGTGGCCATCCCCCTTGGGGGGAGGAGGCAATTTCTCACTTTCTCTCTCTCTGTCTCTCCAGTGAGCACACACATCCTATAGCAAAAATCTCTCATTAAAAAAAGAAAGAAATGAAACCAGCAGGTGGCATGGTGGTGAAGGCACTAGACTCCCACATAGAGGGCCACAGTTCGAGTCCTGGACCTGGTGACTTGTTTTCTCACTTTCCTTCTCTCTCTCTTTCTTTCTCTGCCTGTCTCTCTCTGGTGAATGCATGTGTACCATAGCAAGCAAAATAATAATAAGAAATAGAATTAAATAAATAATTTTGAAAAGTGAACAGACCTGTGCTGTAATCCTGGCTCTACTACTCGTTAGCTCTGTGATCTTACACAGATTCCTTCGACTCTCTGAGCCTCAGTTTCCTCATCTGTAAAATGGAGATAAGGGCGGGATCGATTCCATCGAATGATATGTTCTAGATCGAGTACTTGGTGTCGCACCTTTCACAAGTAAGCGTTCAGGGGACCAGCAGTTAGCAAAATGGCTATGTCGCTGAGCTCCCATGTAGCCGACTGCGGTTCGAGTCCCAGACCCAGTGACTTAAACTCATGCAGGGCATGTGTGCGTGTGTGCCCAAGATCCGAGAGGAGGATGGGATTGCAGCATGGCCATCTCCCTGGGGGGGTGATTTCTTGCTTTCTGTCTCTCTGTCTCTTTCTGTTTTCCTTGTGAGCACACGCACCCTATAGCAAAAACCTCTCCAAAAAAAGAAAAAAAAAGTAAGCGTTCAGTAGCTACTAGCTATTGTTATGAGTTACTATTGTAATCCACCCACTCCCTCCAAACACACACACACACACACACAGGATCCTTCTTCCTGTGAAACTTCGTGTTGCCTTTCCTGCTGTTAAATTTTTTATCTTTCTAGACCCAATGTAAAACATAACATGGTCGGGACCAGCAGTTGGCGTAATGGCTATGTCGCTGGACTCCCACGTAGTCGACCACGGTTCAAGTCCCGGACCTGGTGGCTTAAACTCACGCCGGGCGCGTGTGCGTGCGTGCCCAAGATCCCAAGAGGAGAATGGCTGAAGGTGGCAGCACACTGACCTGCACTGCCAGAAGCATGGACAACCAGAGGTTCAAATCCCAAGTCAGCTTTAAACACACCAGGTGTGCGTGCATGCGCCCAAGATCCTGACTAGCTGGAGGGTTAGGAAAAGAGGTTCGTGGCATGACAGACCCTGTTGGGAGTCTATTCCTCTTTCTCTCTTGAAATAAAATCAAATGCTGGGGAAAATAAAAAGAATATGGGCTTCAAAAGTGACAAACCGGGGACCAGCAGTTAGCGTAATGGCTATGTCGCTGGACTCCCACGTAGTCTACCGCGGTTCAAGTCTCGGACCCAGTGGCTTAAACTCACGCCGGGCGCGTGTGCATGTGTGCCCAAGATCCCAAGAGGAGAATGGAGGAGAAGGGATTGCAGTGTGGCCATCCCCCCTGGGGGTTGATTTCTCGCTTTCTGTCTCTCTGTCTGTCTGGTGAGTGCACGCGCCCTATAGCAAAAACCTCTCCAAAAAATGAAGGAAAAAAAAAAAAGTGACAAACCAGAACCAGCAGATGGCATAATGGTTATGTTGTTGGACTACCACATAGACAACCGTGGTTCGAGTCCCAGACCCAGTGGCATAAAACACCCTGGGCACGTGTACCTGTGTGCCCAAAATCCCAAGAGGAAAATGGAAGAGAAGGGATTGTGGTGTGGCCATCCCCCTTGGGGGGAGGAGGCAATTTCTCACTTTCTCTCTCTCTGTCTCTCCAGTGAGCACACACATCCTATAGCAAAAATCTCTCATTAAAAAAAGAAAGAAATGAAACCAGCAGGTGGCATGGTGGTGAAGGCACTAGACTCCCACATAGAGGGCCACAGTTCGAGTCCTGGACCTGGTGACTTGTTTTCTCACTTTCCTTCTCTCTCTCTTTCTTTCTCTGCCTGTCTCTCTCTGGTGAATGCATGTGTACCATAGCAAGCAAAATAATAATAAGAAATAGAATTAAATAAATAATTTTGAAAAGTGAACAGACCTGTGCTGTAATCCTGGCTCTACTACTCGTTAGCTCTGTGATCTTACACAGATTCCTTCGACTCTCTGAGCCTCAGTTTCCTCATCTGTAAAATGGAGATAAGGGCGGGATCGATTCCATCGAATGATATGTTCTAGATCGAGTACTTGGTGTCGCACCTTTCACAAGTAAGCGTTCAGGGGACCAGCAGTTAGCAAAATGGCTATGTCGCTGAGCTCCCATGTAGCCGACTGCGGTTCGAGTCCCAGACCCAGTGACTTAAACTCATGCAGGGCATGTGTGCGTGTGTGCCCAAGATCCGAGAGGAGGATGGGATTGCAGCATGGCCATCTCCCTGGGGGGGTGATTTCTTGCTTTCTGTCTCTCTGTCTCTTTCTGTTTTCCTTGTGAGCACACGCACCCTATAGCAAAAACCTCTCCAAAAAAAGAAAAAAAAAGTAAGCGTTCAGTAGCTACTAGCTATTGTTATGAGTTACTATTGTAATCCACCCACTCCCTCCAAACACACACACACACACACACAGGATCCTTCTTCCTGTGAAACTTCGTGTTGCCTTTCCTGCTGTTAAATTTTTTATCTTTCTAGACCCAATGTAAAACATAACATGGTCGGGACCAGCAGTTGGCGTAATGGCTATGTCGCTGGACTCCCACGTAGTCGACCACGGTTCAAGTCCCGGACCTGGTGGCTTAAACTCACGCCGGGCGCGTGTGCGTGCGTGCCCAAGATCCCAAGAGGAGAATGGAGGAGAAGGGATTGCGGTGTGACCATCCCCCTGGGGGGTGATTTCTTGCTTTCTGTCTCTCTGTCTCTCTCTGTCTGTCTGGCGAGCGCACACGCCCTATAGCAAAAACCTCTCCAAAAAAAGAAAAAAGGAAAAAAAAAAAAAAACCATAACATGGTCTTTCAGCATCTTCTCTGAGCCTGAATTATTACGGATTTTCTAAGCACTCTTGTCACGGGTATAGTAACTTGTCTCCTGGTTTCATCTCTTTCTTAACTTCTGCCCTCTCCACCTAGCATGTTCCGGACAGATACACAGCTGTCAGGGTGTCCGTGTGCAGATCCCATGGAGAGCCTGGTCTTTCTTGGGCAGGAACACTTCATGAGCAGAAGGCATGAGCCCGTGCTGGCCCGCTCCCGCCCTGTGGAGGACCAGGCAGGGCTATCACAGATTTGACTGTTTATTTCCATCATGCAAATTCTATCTTATTGATATATTCTTTCAGATCAGTGGAACGTTTCAGGTAAACATCCCACCAGTTTTGCTTGGGTATACTTGGAGTAAGACCTACGTATCTCCTAAAGAAGATTACGATGGGCAGAAGCTGAAAGAATGTACCTTCTTAAATATTTTTGCTACCATTGAACCTCAGATATCATACGTCACCTGTAATCCAAAACTGGATACGGTAGGTTTTACATCAAATTACTTTTATGTATACCATTATAGACGTGCGAACTATTTTAAAACCCAGTAATAATAATTTTTAAAATTGGGGTCAGCAGGTAGCATGGTGGGTAAGGCGCTGGACTCCCATGTGGCCAACTGCAATTCAAGTCCTGGTCCTGGCAGCTTGCTTTCTCACTTTCTCTTGCTTTTTCTCTCTGTCGTCAAATTAAAAAATAATAAGTAAAATAAAAATAAATAATTCTTTAAAAAATATTTTTTGGGACCAGCAGTTAGTGTAATGGCCATGTCGCTGGACTCCCACGTAGTCGACCATGGTTCGCGTCCCGGACCCGGTGGCTTAAAACTCACGCGGGGCACGTGTTCATGCATGCCCAAGATCCCAAGAGGAGATTGGAGGAGAAGGGATTGTGGCGTGGCCATCTCCCCTGGGGGGTGATTTCTCACTTTCTGTCTCTCTCTGTCTCTCTCTGTCTGGTGAGCGCACGCGCCCTATAGCAAAAACCTCCCCCAAAAAAGAAAAAAATAATAATAATTTTTAAAATTGCAAAATAAATATTGATGCTTTATATTTTCCTGTGGGAACAATATGGTAAATGTTGAAATACTTTCAATTTGATTCTAGTTTTCAGATCAAATAGATGTTTTACAGAGAGCACGGATTTTTAAAAAAAACTGCAAGGCAATGTTTCCCAACCGAAGAATCGCGACTACTGTTTTTAGTGACGAAGGGGTGCAGGTCTTAGTGACAAGGTACATCAAGGCACTGAACCCCCCTCAACAGCTTCTGGACAGATTTCTTCAGGATTCTGGCGCAGCACTTGTGAGTATGGTGGCATCTTTAGCAGCCTCGCTGTGCCGAAAAGCCATCTGTGGAGAGTCACCTGCACCTTGTGTTTATTCTGGCGCGCTCTGACTGGCTCCCCTCAGAATTCGTGTATTAGGGAATTAGAGTTCCCTTAGCTGGACCGCACAAGCCCAAATCAAAATTCCGAGTTCAGTTTGCTACACTCTGCTTTTCTATCACTGGTTTCTTTGCGCCTACGTGTCCTGACACTCATATCCAAGTAAATAATAGTCCTGTGGATTTACTTCAGAGGTTATCACGCACACACACGCACACAGATACATACACACACACACACACACATATATATATCCCTCCTAGCTCTTTGACCTGTTAAGGATTGTGACCATATTTATTAACTGCATGCAGTTAGCACGTGACCTGGATAAGTTATGGGATCACTCTTAAGTTTATTTTCTCTTCCATAAAACGAGAGCAGTCATAGTGTCATTTCACAGGCTTGTCATATACCCTGCTGGTGAGTGAGATGGTGCGTGGAACGCACTGTGCTTGGTGGGCGTGTAATACACACTGAATGCATTTTAGCTTACCGTATTCCAGGACCTCGCTGCTCGATTTGTATCACTGATTCCTTTTATGTGTGGTACGGTGGATGAAAATGATGATTCTGATATATGGATGGCATCAGAGGTAAGTCCATCTTAGGAAAATACATAGCATTTCTTACTTCCTTTGCTCTTAAAGAAGCCTTTGCGGGGGAGGGAGGTGGGGACCAGCAGATGGTGTAATGGTTAAGTAACTGGACTCCTACATAGTGGTTCGAGTCCCAGACCTGGTGGTTTAAAACTCACGTTGGGCACATATGCGTGTGTGCACGCCCAGGATCCCAAGAGGAGAATGAGAAAGGATTTGCGGCATGGTTATCCCCCCCGGATGATTTCTCACTTTCTGTCTCTCTCTCTCTCCAGTGAGTGCACATGCCCTATAGCAAAAATCTCTCTAAAAAAAAAAGAACAAGAAGCCTTAAAAAAAAAAAAAAAAAAAATTATTTAACTTTTGCTCTCTTTCTCTCCTCTCTTCTCTCACCCCCTTTCT